CCATTTGAGCACTTGTCTCTGGTCTCTCTGATGAGGTATTACCTATTAAAGTCCAACCAAGAACTGTTTGAATTGCGGTCAATCCTCCTGCCAGCTGTTCAATTTTTCCTGTGAGAAGTTGCCCATAATAGTCTCCACCGATTAGGATGTCTATTTCGGTTTAATTATTGTCTACCTTAGTCAAAGTGATTCCTTTCTTATCCAATTCCCATTGCCTGGGTCCTGTTTCAACGGGTGAAATATTGCCACAAATTATTGTTTCCTCTAACGCTTCCATTTTGAAAGCCTTTCCCTCATCAACATTGTCCAACTGGAAATAAAATATTGAATGAGCCTTTTCTCCTGTGGTTTGCCCTCCAAACAAAAATTTATTCAATTTGACTTCTCCCACCTTGGGTAAGTCTAACTCCTTAGCTAGAGACCTTCTGATGTAAGATTTTTGACTACCAGAGTCTAAAAGCACTCTTACCATTTTGGAACATTTCGGCCCTTTAAGTTTTACAATGAGAGTCATTAAAGAGATATTATTTGTGCATACTTGATTCGCCATTGCTGTTACAGGCTCACTGATCCCCTCATTCTGCTCTGCTAAACTATTGTGAGATCTGTTATCTGACCTCCAATTTAAATTTTCCTGACTATGTGAGGTTCCTCTGCACATTATCTCAAAATGAGGTCCTTGGCAACGCTTGCATCTTACAAAAGATCTACAATCCTTCTTCAAATGATTCTTTCTCAAGCATTTAAAGCAAACTTTCGCATCCTGTACCCTCTTTAATCTGTCTGATTCCAACATCTTGGCTGCCTTAAAACAGTTTTGGCTAAGATGGTTATCTTTATCACAAAATAAACACGGTAAGTTGGTCTTTCCAGCAAATAATGCAGACGCTGTGTGGATCTTAGGGGGATTATTTTCTCTCTTTCCCTGTTTTAGAGGAAGGGAAGGTTCAAATCCTTCAGCAACAAAGGAAATGCGTTCTGCATTTTTAACTTCCTGCTTTAAAAATTCTATCAGACCCTCTAATTTATCAAAAGCTTTAGCCCCACTATGTTCAATTCCCTCTTCAATCTCAGCGTAATCTCTTTCTTTGAAAGGTGTACGGGAACGTTGCCATATTTTGATAAGTTCAAGTGGCAAACTTGACTCCACCAACGGGTACAAGAAAGCACCACCCCCAGACTTAGTATCCACTCCCAGAGATCCCAAAGAATGGAGATGTGCAACCAAATCATCATAAAGTTGAGTCAAGGTTCTTTTTTCAGACCTGGCACTGGCAATGACTAACTTTAAAAGCTTGCGCACATACAACTCAGTCAGCATATCTCTGTCTCCAAACCTATCTTTTAAATCTCCAATGACTTTGTTGTAATTCTTTTGGGTAAGAGGGAAGCTAGTCACAAGTCTGTGGGCCTTTGACCCAACAACCATGGATTGTATTAAGTATTCAAATTTATCAACATCAGACAGTGACTCATCTAAATGTATTTTTTCAAAATGACTCCACCATGATAGCCATTCCTCTAGCTCACCTGTATACTTTTTTAGTTCAAATTTTGGAAGTTTAATTTGTCTTTTAACATCTGAAGTGCTAGATTGTGACATTTTATCATCACAGGGTGCTGCCAATTTAGACTCATATTCTTTCACCTTCTGTGCGACAATTCCTACTTGTAGGCTATAAGTCTCACATAGTTCCATCTCATCATTGATTTGAGCTTCTGTGGACCTCGGATCATCCAATAAGATCTCTTTTATTTTATCATCAATCAATATCAGTCTATCATTAAGAACGGTTAACCTTTCAAATTTGGCCCTTATTAAAATTATATCCACTTCCTTTAGACTTATACCTGATTTTATTTCATTTGTGGTACGAGTTATAGTATTCCTTAAGGGAGTTCTTTCTCTTTTAAGCTTATCCATCTCCACAAATTGTATAAACACCACAAGGTGAAATCACGTCCGGCTCACCAAAAATGTTGAATTTGAAAAAAAAAAAAATAAATGTGGGGAAGGTCAATCTTACCCAGATTGAAAATAGAGATTCACCAGTTGTGTTTGCACAAGTTGTAGAAATACAATTTAACAAAAATGGCCTAAATATATATTTTATTTTGCTTATCAAAAATGACTGGGCAATAAAAATAAATAAACAGATAAAAAGGGTGATAATCAAATTGGCCAAAAGGTTAGATATATTTAAAACTAGAATAAACAAAACAAGTGATACAAGTTAAATATACATACAAACAAATAATGTAGAGAGCAAAATAACTAGGGATGGAAAGGCAAAATCTTTTTCAAACAAAGTTTGCAAATACTTATCTAAGCTTCCGTTTTGTAAAAAAAAAACAAATCTTGTTTTCAATTCGGTCGATAAATTTGATCAAGAGTTCACTTGAAATAATTCTTCACTTGAGATAATTTTCCAGATTAATTCTTCTGTTCCTTAACAGGAAACTATATCGCAACCCACTTAATTGGTGCGCAATTCTATAACGACGCTCTTCGCGTTCTCTTCTTTGTTTCATTCACACGTGGTTACTCATTCCTTCTGAGGCAGGGAGCTCATATTTCCCCGAGCTCATATTTCCCCGGTGCTGCCATTTGTCCTTTCTTCTTTTTTCTCCCCGTCACCGCGCATAGGTGCTCGCGCATGGGATGGGGGGGCGATGTCTTGTTTGTTTACAATTTTTGCTCCTTCCATTCTTTATTCCTTTCCACCCATTAAGAGAAAGAGGCAACAAAAATAAAATAAAAATATATAAACATAATAATAATAGGGGGAAATCTATAAAGCATACAATTATAAATTATCTATTTTTAACAATTACACTATATACTACTACAATACATATAATACTATCTATCTATTACACAAATTGTTAATATATATTGATATCAAAATGGAGATTTTGCCGGGAGGATATTGATATAAAGAGACAAGGGTCGCCTCTCCCGTCAAAATAGACGTCAGAACCAGACGCCATCTATTGATTTGCGGCGACGGTCAATAGATAGCGTCTGGTTCTGACGTCTATTTTGACGGGAGAGGCGACCCATGTCTCTTTATATCAATATCATCCCTGCAAAATTTCCATCTATATTTTAGTCATAGATTTGGCCCAGCCACTTTGCCAGCTAAACACCTCTTTGGCAAATTGTCAAGATTCCATTAGATCCCGTGTGGATCTCATGGAATAAAGTCCGCTCTAAACTGACGAGGATCATTAGCCCGAAACTATGGTCTCTAGGTGGAAGCTTTCAGTTTGCCAAAGCTGGTGTTGTGGCTTTGTCACCGACCCGAGGCCGCTAGTTTGCGGCGACGGTCAATAGATGGCGCCTGGTTCTGACGTCTATTTTGATGGAAAAGGCGACCCTTTTCTCTTTATATTTATATCTATTAAGAATGAGAGAATAGCCATACACTAGATTCCTCTTCCAGGATGGTGTAAAGACATGCACCCACAATGCACCATCTGTAGGACCAAAGAGGCCTCACCAGACCACCTCCTGGAATGTATGGAAGCCTCAAGAGAGGACCTGTATTCCATCCCTTCCAAGATTATAAATGTAATCCATAAATTCAGTCTCCATGACTTTGTATCATTATAAAATAGGATAATAAAAAAGAATGAGAGAACCAATGAACATTTTCCAATGACTTGATTACTGTTGTTGAAATAAAAATAATTTAGTGTTTTATTATATAGTATGCAATAGAGAAATATATATATGAAATTTCACACATATAATGAGGAAATGTAATATTTAAACATCTATATTTCTCTCAGCAAAAGTCGACAGCTAGATAAAGTTCAAATATTCGACGTTGTCCATATCGCCAGGTAAAATCGGGGATGTTAGAATCGACCAGCAATGAAAACTTTAAATTGAGTTTAGGAATGTGTGACGTCTCTAGACAATTCTCTCACATTGGAGACTTTCCATCTAGTACATTTGGAATTCCTGGGTCATTGCTCTTCTGTAATGTGCCGATGTAAAATATATTTTGGTTGAACGTCTAACTGATTGCGGTGATTTGTAATGCAGAAATAAGAGGTGACACGTTTCAAGAAGGCAGTTCTTGTCTGATATTATAAGTTGTCTTGAATGGTCTAATACAGTGGTCGGCAAAATTTTAATGTCTGTCAACAACAAAACACTCAGTGCCACATAACGTTATGTGGCACTGAGTTTGTTGTTGACACACAATAATATGTGTGTCTTTATATTACCTTGATAAAGGTTGGCGTTCAGCCAACTGAAATATTGGTAAAATAAATGATATTTTGATTCAATATATTCCTTTTTATTTATAGTTTTAATATGAATATATAATATGGTAATCACACATGCATTAAATAGGTAAATATCGCTTTAAAAAGCATAAAACAATGCGTTTTGGTCAGTACGTCCAGTACAGAACGTGATGGGGGAGATAAGGTATATGCCAGTGTGATATACAGTATTGGTATGTATAGTATACAGTGCTGTTGAACATTCTTTATCACATACATCACGACCTGTACAGGAGGAGTTAACCATAATGTATTGGTTTGATGAGTTTTTAAAATCAAAATACCTTTCTTTCGGTATGTATTTATTTATTATTATCATTTTATTATCCCATGGGTAAGATTACACCAGGTTATGCGAACGTTGAAAGCAATAATATTTTCTACTACTGTTTTGGGGTTGTTGTATAGGTCTTAGCTCCAATACAGTCCAGGATATGTGCTGGAGTTGTAGTGGAGTTGGAGCATTTTGAGCAGACAGGAAACATATTTTATTCATCAATGAACATATTTTATGTTTGAGGAAATAAATTGAATCTTCATATTGTTTTCATCTGAAACACACACACACTATATTCAACCATTTCAATCAAAAACATTTCACAACAAAAATATAATTTTTATATGGTTCATATATGTAATAAACAGAAATTTAATTTACTAAGTTTGAACATGCACTTAGAGATGCTTATATTCGCTTACAGCTCATAGCACATTGAAAACACCGGTTCTCATCTGATTACCGAAGTTAAGCAATGTCGGGCCCGGTCAGTACTTGGGAGGGTGACCACCTGGGAACACCGAGTGATGTATGCTATTACCTTTTAGGGCTCAAAAATCATTCTGGTTAGCAGCCCCATAAATAAATATATTTCCGAGATGCTTATATAAATTTAATGACGACACAGTTTTTAATATTATACTATGGTATTAAAAATTTGAAATATTTTTCAAAATATTTCTCTAAAGAAATGAAAACAAATGAAACAAAAGAATATTATATTTTGAAGGTAAATACGACGTTTTTGTTTACAAGTTGGAATTGTACGTGGGGAGAGGGATTTCTGTGTGCGTGTACAACCGTCTATTGATTCTCCATTATTACACAAATCGTTCCTGGATTACTCAGCCAACACACACTTTTTCACATTTTATCTTTTATTAGCGCAATCCTGGAATTAATTATTTGTTAGAGTATTTTATTTATTCATTTTACATTACAAGGTTGTCCCAAAAGTTCGTTGAAATTTGCAAAAAAAAGTGAAATACCAATATTATTCGCCGTTATGTATAATGTCTTTGTATTATGTATTATTATGTATTCGCCGTGATAATATTATTCGCCGTTATGTATAAAGTAATTGTATTATGTATTCGCCGTAATAATATCATTTGCCGTTATGTATAATGTCTTTGTATTATGTATAAGGTAATTGTATTATTATGTATTCGCTGTGATAATATTGTGGCATTTACATTTATGTAAATATTTCCTTCTTTCTCGTTTTCATTTTTTGTTTCATGCAAAGCAGGATGTTTTGCGAACTTGTTGTTGGTCTTTATCTATGTATTCGATCATCTCGGCTGAGTGGATCGAGACTCTTTCACTAAGAATAAAACTTTACCTAATTTTAACAACGACTGATTCTGTTTAAGTTATTTTCTGAAAACATTCACTGCAGGATTTGTGGAAATATGACATCTGATGAAATCTCCCACTATATCATAGAATGCAAATATTTAGGTGAAGAAAGAGAAAAACTCTTAAAACACCTTCTGGAGATTTAGTAACCCGCTGGAGATGCTGAGAACAATTTCAGAAAAGAAAAATATAGCAATAGAACTCTAAAATTTCTACAGATCAATTGTAAATAGAGCAAAAGAGGTAGTGAGGAAAGTTTAAGAACAGATGTGTAAATAAATCCCTTTTCAAACAAAGGCTCACGTGCACATGGGGAAAGATGGGAAAAATTACTGTATTGTTTTGTTGTTGTATGGCGAATCCATACAGGGCAATTGGCCCTTATAAAATACTTTTTGTTGTTGTATGACGAATCCATACAGGGCAATGGGCCCTAATAAAAGCCTTTTTGTTGTTGTATGGTTAATCCATACGGGCAATGGGCCCTAATAAAAGTCTTTTTGTTGTTGTTGTATGACGAATCCCTACAGGGCAATGGGCCCTAATAAAAGCCTTGTTGTTGTTGTTGTATGGCGAATCCATACAGGGCAATGAGCCCTAATAAAAGCCTTTTTGTTGTTGTTGTTGTATGGTGAATCCCTACAGGGCAATGGGCCCTAATAAAAGCCTTTTTGTTGTTGTTGTATGGTGAATCCATACAGGGCAATGGGCCCTAATAAAAGCCTTTTTGTTGTTGTTGTATGGCGAATCCATACAGGGCAATGGGCCCTAATAAAAGCCTTTTTGTTGTTGTTGTATGGCGAATCCATACAGGGCAATGGGCCCTAATAAAAGCCTTTTTGTTGTTGTATGGCGAATCCATACAGGGCAATGGGCCCTAATAAAAGCCTTTTTGTTGTTGTTTGTTATTTTATACGTGACAATATTATTCGCCAAGTAATAAGAAAAACACGAATTTTTGGGACAACCTTTTAAATATAAAAATTCAAAAGAAAAATAGAATAAATACACAAGTTCTGTTTGATTTTAATTAATTTTTTTTTTGCAGTCGATCAAAGATGTTCTAGGTTGAACGTCTCTTCCTATCTATATGCGATGACAAAACCTAAGCAAGTTCCATATTTTAAGTATAAACCACACCTTATTTGCCTATATAACGGTAGATTTACCATTTATATCTGACTTCTAAAGCGTTTACCTTAAAATAATAAATAAGAAAATATAAAAATAAAATATATATATGTGACAATATAGTGGTAATAATGTGGTGAGGAGAGAAATAATCACACGACGAGTTGGAAGAGGAATCTGGAAGCCATCCGAGAGAGAGTGGGAGCGAGAGCGCTGTCCGCTGAACGACTGCCTGTGTGGCCACCACCCGACTACCAAAATAGTCCCCAGGTGTTGACGGGCGGGCCCCTTTTGCCGCCCCTTTGGAATGTCGTGATGTCTAAAGTGTCTCGCTTTAGCTGCCCATCTCTCTCTCGTTGACTGTAGGTTTGTTTTATTAATCCTGGAAGAGCATATATTATGACATATGCATGCTTAAAGGTACAACTTCCTTATGTTTTGTTCATGGGTGTATTTATGATTAACATTGTTGCAGCTTTGCAGGGTCGTCGACCTTGGTTTCTTCCTTCTTGGTTTTATACACGTTTCCCGAGCGGGTTTCCATAGTCGAACAAATAAATATAAGTAAATAAATAAAATTAAATAAAAATAAATTACCTTTTAAAGTTATTTCGTTTATTTATTCTTGTCTTCCTCGTAGGTCGAGATCCGCAGTCTTCGTCTAGGTCCTCTCTCGCTCCAATAACCAATCAAGATATATGTAGAGTAAAATATTACAAAAGGAATGAAACTATAAAAAGGAATGATGATAATCTGAATATTCTGTTTTAATTAAATATTAAATATCATAGAATATTTTGAATAAATGTAGGGCGCATTAAAATTGATGTAACAATATCTAGGGAAAGTTTCTGAAAGTTTATGTCTTCATAATTTCATTAAATGCATATTAAAGAACATTCCTTAATATTATAAGAATTGATGACACCATGGGAGAGCTAGCCTCTGACAGGAATGACAATCCTATGTTTTTTTCTCTTTCTCTCTCCAATTAGTTAAATAACTAGGTAATCGCGTATAGCAAATTATTTCTTTAAAAATAAAAACCCGAAACATGATTCCAAATCAATTGTATTTATATGAAAAATAGACACATCGGCCAGTTAGAGTTTTTTTATTTTTCTCAACGTTTCGACGAAATTCTTTTGTCTTCGTCAGAAGAAGTAAATAAAAACAAAGCATTTGGTAATTCATATGTTTTGTCATAGGTTGACTTGTTAATGATTTCCTAAAAAAAATCCCTGAACCACGATATATTTTGGGGCAAATGACAATTCATAGATGAAAATTAAAAAATATATTTTTCAATCTACAATTTTCTCTTTAATTATAGATATTATACTAAATAAAGCAAAAAGATTAAAAATCTGCTACTGTCAATTTGCCGAAAAAGCTTCGGGTCTGAGTACCCAAAAGAGACTTACATTATACAAAACAATATTTAGGCAAATGATTTCTTATGGATCGGAGATATGGTTTAAATTCGTAAATAAGAAAAATAAATTGAATTCATTTCAATACCAAATGATATTATGGTGCACGCAATCATATAGAAAGACCAGTTCTAATTGTATACATAGCATAGCCTAGATGGCTTTGCTTAACGATTTCATAAAATCCAAAGATATGAAATATGAAATAAATAATTTAAATTTAGAAGGAAACAAAAATACAATTTAGATATCCCAAGCATAATAACGGATTTTATTGAATTTAAAATGGCTACTTTAAAGAACAACACAAATGAAACTTTTCAAAGCTTCTTCCCTAACAACATCCCAGAATATTTCCTGCCAAACTTTCATAATTCCCTATTTATTTCTAATCATGGAAATTTCAGAAGCTTTTTAAAAAGAATTAAAGCGGTGGAAGACTCGAGTTGCTTTTGTGGACATGAGGAACAAACCTCAATACATCTTTTACTAGATTGTCCTGTTTTTCAAGACAACAGAATAGAAAATAATTTAATAGTAACAGATCCAAGTATTTTTATTTCCAGTAAATAAATGTATATTAAATTCAATACCTTTTTTGTAGATATATTTAAAATTATATAGTAACAAATATATTTTAAAAAAATGATAATTTATATTATGTTGATTGTACATATTGCCAGACACTTCTTTCTTTTGTACACAGGTCTTTTCTCGTTTCTTTTCTCTCTTTCTCATTGTTAACATCATATGACTATTCTATTCACGGCCTGAAATTATTATATATATATACAAGGTATGTCCCATAAGTTCCCGGACTGGGTCCATAAAAAAAAGGTAAGATTTAAAAAAAAAAAAATTATTAAAACTTTTCAAAGTAATCCCCCTTGCTTCAACGCACCAGCGCCATCGTTTCTCCCAATTGTCGAAACAGTTTTTATAGGCCTCTTTTGGAATGCTCTTCAATGCCAGCAGCGATTTTTCTATTATGTCTTCCCTGGTGTCAAAATGTCTTCCTTTTAGAACTGCTTTGAGTTTGGGGAACAGGAAAAAGTCATTTGGTGCGATGTCTAGGGAATAGGGTGGTTGAGGTAGGATTTCTGTCCCGTTTTTCGCCAAAAAACTCGTCACCAAGTGCGCTGTTTGAGGGCGGGCATTGTTATGGTGTAGGATCCAGTCACCATTAGTCCATTTTTCTGGCCTTTTTTTTCGAATCGCTTCTCTTAGACGGCGAAGAATGCTCAAATACATTTCCTTAATAACTGTTTGGCCTGCAGGAAGATACTCGTTATGAACAATGCCCTTGTTATCCAAAAAAGCGACTTGCAACACCTTGTTTCTGGATTTCAATATCCTGGATTTTTTGGGTCTAGGCTCACCCTGACCTCTCCACTCGGCAGATTGACTCTTGGTTTCAGGGTCATAGCCATAGACCCATGTCTCGTCGCCTGTGATTATCTTGTCTTTCCATTCCGGATCCGTTCTTGTCATTTCCAGCATGTCCTCACAGGTTGCAAGCCGACACAGTTTTTGCTCATTAGTGAGGAATTTTGGGATTAATTTTGCAGGAGTCTTTTTGAGATGCCTGTGTCTTGCTCTAGCTCCAGCAA